TAATGCATACATAAATATATAAAATTTATATTATGTATTCTATATGTAATATGTATATTATATATTGCATGATATATATTGTAATATATGTATAAATATATATTATATATCTAAGCAAATTTATATTATGTATATATTATATACATAGTATCATATGCATTATCATGTATATGTAAATATATTATATATATCTAAGTGATAGCTAATATACTTATTATGTGCACTGTTATGGAATCCAGAGAAATAGAAATTGGGGTAAACTTTAGGGGTCTTCAAGTCATCGGTGCCAGGTATATGGGCTCAGAGCTGGGCGACTAGCCATGGCCTGGTCCATACAACGAAGGTACATTTGCACACAACACACCAAAGTCTGATTTTGTTACTTGCCCTTCTTTCAATGTGATCACGGGCCAGTGCGATCGGCCATACGTCTGGTTTCTGTCTTCCACACACCCTCTTCAAGATGAATGCACTGAAACATTCCTGCACGGGCAGGAATGGAAGGCAGGCGTGCACACCACAGGCCCTGTGGTTGGTTCTAGACAATGTCTCGTGAGCACAGGTGGGGGTAGCTGGGCGTCATGAACAGATTTGTGTACCCGGACTTTACAAGCAGGTAGGAGTCACTGACTCTAGTTGTCTCTGTTCCCTGGTGGCTTGCTCGTTGCCTCTTTTTATGCTGCACTGTGAGAGCATTTTAATAGGGGTGGATGTTTGGGTTGAAGCCTTGGGAATGTGTACATGCTGGCCAAAATGTTATCTCCTGTGGTTGATGAGCCATGCTTCCTGCCTGATTGCACAAAACTAACACGCAGAAGACTTCCCGGGTGGCCGCCTCCTCCAGCACACCTGACCTCCAGGTTGTAGGCAACACCTTGCTTGGATGATACTCCAGGACTTACAGAAACTCACCTACGGAGATCCCATAGAGACTAGATATCAAGAAACCTATTCATGCCTGGTTCTGTGTTGTCCTGGATTTCGGAGGATGAAGGTCTATCCACTGATGCCCAGGGGGTGTCCTACGCACCTGCAGCATCGACCTCACCTGGGGGCTTGTTAGCAATGCCAAGATCTAAGCTCTGCCTCACACCTGCTACATTAGAATCTGCACTTTTGCAAGATTCCTGGAAACTGTGTGCCCATGAATGTCTGAGAAGCTGTGACGTGCACTCTGACATCTGGTATGATTTCTGCAAAAGTGATCCACAGAAAAAAAAAATAATTCTTTGCCACAAAACACACCAAGGCATCATCATATTCTTCAGACTTTCTGTGCAAGGCTATCGATGTGTACAGGGGGACAAAGAACAGATAGTGATGTTTGTATCTTCGGGCAGCTATAATATGCCAGGCCCATGAGGTAGGGAGACATGGGAGTTTTACCAATTCACGTATTTTGCGTGGCAAGTGAATATTTGATTAATGGGGATTAGCCCCTGCTGGTATGGAAAATTTCTGTTTGAAACGTTATGGAGCCTGTCAGTGGCTCCTGGTCCTGGCCAGGTCTCCAGTTATCTTGTCACGGATGTCTTCCTGAACGGTGAGCAGATCTGTGATGGTCAATGTTACGTGTCAATGTGGCCCAGCCACAGAGATGTGGTCAAATATTATTCTGGATGTTTCTTTTAAAGGTGTTTTATTTGTATATATTTTTTGGTATGAGATTAACATTTCAAGCAGTGGACTCTGAATGAAGCGGATTGCTGCCCACAATGCAGGTGGGCCTCGTCTAATCAGTTGAAGGCTTTAAAAGCATAAGCAGTGACTTCCCCTGAGCAAGAAGGAATTCTGCTCGCACAGGGCCTGCACAGCTCAGCTGCAACACCAGCTCTTTCCTGCATGTCTAGCGTGCTAGTCTACCCTGAAGATTTTGGACCACTCAGCTCTGAGTACGGCATGAGCCAATTCCTTAAAAAAAAAAAAAAAAAAAAAATCTGTCTGTATACGTGTACACATCCTACCAGTTCTATTTCTCTGGAGAACCCTGACGAATGCAAGATCTGGCCCTACTTAGGGCTGACCTTAGCGCCATCGAGAGGGTGATAGGCATTCCAGCTCATACACAAGCACAGAATAAATCCACCCAGGATTTATGAGCTCTTGCAGGAAAGGAAAAAAAAAAAATACATGGAAACATAAGAAAGCATCCCAGGTGGCTGGGAGCAGGTGTCCGGGGTAAAGGCAGAGAAATGGGTGGTACATTCAAAATGCTTCTGAAGACAAGAATCTAGCTGTTTGGGGGACTTGCAATCATACATGATTCTTTCAATTATAAATAACAAATCACTTGCAATAATAATAATAATAATAATAAAGAAGTCCCCATTGCTATGTCTGAACGATGGAGAAAAAACTTTCTGATGGCACCTGCCAGGGTGGAAGGTTTTATATCATTGATATTGCAAAATATGTTGTGGCGAATTGTCTGTACGTAGTAGTTTGTAAAGTATGTTGGTGTGTGTGTGTCTGTGTAGGTATGTGCATGTATATACGTGATGGGTGTGTGTGCGTGTGGGGACGAGGACATATTTATATGTATGTACGGACGTGTGTCTTATACCCACGTAAACACACGTATCCACTAAGGACTCCAAGCATCATGCAGGTGTGCTGATGCAAGCCCAACGATAACTGAGACATAATCGGAGGTGCAAATGCTCAGATGCGTTCCTATCACCCAAATCTGCCATGTTGCTGTCAAGACTTGGGTTTCTCAGTCTGAACACGCAGGTCCCCAAAGTCCCTTCCCAGTCAGACGACCTGTCATCCTGGCGGGAAGCCAGAAACAGGATTTAAGTCACGAGCAATCTGCCATGGGAAGGAGCAAAGTCCCCGAGGTGCCACCTCTGGGAAAACACAGAGCGAGGCATCGCGGAGCCTGACGAGAGGCGACAAGGAACGCCAGGCAGACTTACTGCCAAACGCAGGGCACGGGATGCGGCTGGTAGGAGGTAATGGACTGGGCTGCCTGCGCGCATCACTCCTCCTCATGATGCAAAGTGGTCTGTAATCAGCTCCCGAGAGGAGCTCAGACGTGGGGAACAGCCCCGTCCCGGCCACCGCTGACACTCATCCTAGTTGCAAACCTCTCCGGCGCTCCCCTACCGGGGCTGCCGCGGGTGTGTTCTCTGGACCCGTCCAGCTTTGAGGAAAAGAAATTCAGAGGTGCACTGAGATCCCGTCTGGACAAGAATGCGCTCCAAATGAGCTTTCTCACGATTGTCCCTTTGCCTCTCAAGAGCGGCAGAGGCACGGCGTGGGGCGGCAAGTCCCCATCTTTTTAACCACTGCTTTGATGCTCTTTACAAGCCTGGATTCAAAGATCTCGTTCACAGTGAACAAAAACTCTGCACACTCTTCCTAGAGTAGGTGCACACATAGACTCACACTTTATGCATAATTGTGAAGGTGCACCTTTTTTGAGGTTCTTTCTTGCACCAAATCTCCCCGGACATCCAAGGACCTCACATTCAAACGTCAAGGTTGGGGAACCCTTCGTGGACAAGGAGCATGCCTCCTATTTGGGGGGAAGTGCCTTTTTATTCCTTATACCTGCTATGCCTGGAAATGCACAGAAGATTTAGGGATTCCAACATGAGTCTGCCATCTCCCCGCCTGCCACGTAAGCTTGGGCTCAGGGGAGCCTTGCAGGGTCTGGTTGGGGAGACCACTGTGTTGCTAGCATGACCAGCCCTTACCGAAGCTCAGCTACCACAAGTGGGACTACCAACCCCTGGACGCTGATTTCTCGGAGGAAAATCCAAAAATCACACACCAGTGACGTGAGAGCCATGGCCACTACATAGTTTCCTGTGAGCTCATCCCTGGGCGCTTCCAAGCAGAAGCCAGAGCGCTTCTGGGCAAATCCATTTCCACCCTGGAAGGAAGGTCCTTCTGCCTCTGAACTTCTGAGCCATCTGGGTTTTCCAACAGAGGGCAAGCATGTTTTGAAATGGACTCTCGGCCCCGGCATGCCGCTCATTTCTTCTTCGTGCCCCTGACACTCTGACTGTGTATCCGGGCTCTTCCTCATGAGCTAACTATGTGAACTTAGGGGAGGTTGACTCGAATGCCATGTCTCAATGTTCTTATTTTTTTAAAAAGTGGCCAGAAGAGTGCCTTCCTCCCAGGGCCCTTGTGGAGATCGAGCAATTTGTTCTAAACATCTTACCTACCACTCATGGATGGTGCATGTCCAGCAGACCCGCCAGGGGCTGATGGAGCTGTTGTCAGCCCAGCTATGGCTCGGAACCAATCGGGCTCCAGGTGGCCCAGGTGCACGGTACCCTCCCTCCTGGGTCCAACTGCCAGGGGCCCCCATGAGAGCGTGCTGTAACAAAGTGCTGACTTCAATCTCCATCTCCTGATCTTCAATCTCCGAAAAAAATGGTTTGATGTAGAGGATAAAGATGTCACTGTAGGATTCCTTCATGCAGGATCCACCACAGACGGTGCTCAATATGATTAGCACAGCAGGGAGGCCCCTCTTACGTCCCCCACAAACACCTGTAGGGCAAGGTCAACGTCCAGGATCTGATTTTGCAGCAAGTAGCTTATAGAATGCACACGGTACTCACTCCCGAGGAAGCGCGCATGCTCACCAGATTTTCCAGCTCACCTTGAGCATGGATGGTGCAGGCGTAGGTCTCTGAGAGTTTGGTTCACGCCAATGCCATGTCCTACGTGTCAGGCGGGGTCCTCGGTAAAGTAAAAGGAGCATCCCGAATTTCTGAAATTATAGAGGATAACGATGTCAGCACAGTCACAGATGCTCGGTTCTTAAAATACCCCACCTTGTCTTTCCCAAACAAATGTATTTTTTTTTTTTTTGGTGGCACATGACATTTGAGGGGATTTCAGAAAATACATAAATTCTTAAAAAGGTTTTTCATTCTAAATTTTAATGTGGGAATACTTTCCCCCCAGTTGAAGGGGGCACTAAGCTACAGAGGGAAGTATTGAAACCATTAAAATCAGCCAATTCTGGTTTTGTCCCTCACCGAGGAAAATGCAAATATATTTGGTCATAGTCAGAAAATCCTGTTAAGGGTATTTTGTCCCTGTCCCATGGCTTTGTAGATGTGAGGGCACGGATACGTTCTCTGCACCCTAGTTTTAGCAAGACATTTGTAAATCATCATCTGTTTTGCCTTCTTTTTTTTTTTTTTGAAGGATGGATTAAGAATGAAACCCTCTTTCTGTGTTCTAAGTATTTTGGATGCAATAATCAACCGTGACAAAAACTGTCTGTTTTAGGGGATAAAGATTGCACTGTAGGACTCCTTAACACAGATCCCTGTATGCAACACAGCTTTGCAGCACTGCACAATTACTGAGTGAAATGCCATGGATTGCATAAACTGTATTTGAAATTATTGTAATGGTATTTGGGGAGAAATGGCTCATTCCCCAAAAGTCCCTCCGTGGAATTAATAATGATTTTTTTTTTTTTTGCCCCCTATCAATGCCAGGCAATCCAATACCACTGTGTCATTTCTAATGTCCGAGATGAAATGAAGCTAGACCAGTTTGACTCTTTTGTTGTTTTATTTTCATTCCCCTGTAGACCCTTGGAGAGTTTTCTTTATTTTATCTGGTTTGAGAAATCCACTAGAGTATGTCTAGGATTGGTTCCATTTTTTGTTTTGTTTTGTTTTGTTTTCAGTTGAGACCTCCAATGTCATAATTTCTTTCTGACAATGTGTTTGGCAGACTACATTTGTCTCCTGTCATTTCTATAATTATTGTTTCTGATCCATCTCTTGGATGCAGGAAGGACTGAGTGGGTCCAAAGAGCCCAGGGAAGTGTGGTGTGCCTGATGCAGGAGGGCAGGTGACAGGTAGGGAGACGTGGGGAAGCTGAAGCATGAGATCATCGGGTCTTGGAGGGTGCAGTGGGGTGATGTACAGTTGCTTAGAGCCCGCGGCATTCAAGCGAGTCCCTGCAGATGGAGTCATGGAGGCTCCATCTGCATCAGTGCTTGGAGAATGATAAGAAAGAGAGAGTGAACACAGCAGTAGACTGTGATCATGGTCCAGGTTGATGGTGGCGGCTGCGTCTGGGATGGTGGATGCCATGATGGAGACTATGGGGCAGACTGGAAGTATATGCCTTGACAAAGCCTGAAAATGTACTGAATGTGGGGGATGAGGAGAAGGAAGAGTCAGGCATCCGCTCCATGATTCTGGTTTGAGTGTCTGGATGATGCTGTTTATCACAACAGGAAGGCTGGGTGCATGGAGAGAATCATGTCTCCCCCCCAGCCCCCCAGAATTCACATGTGCAAGGCTTACTCCCCAAATGGGATGGTTTTAGGAGGTGGGGCCCTTGGGAAGTCATTAGGGTCAGATGAGGGTGGGGCTCCACAATGGGATTACTCTCCTTACAAGAAAAGAGCTCAATCTGTCTGTCGTATGAAGAGACATAAGATGGTGGTCATGTACAAGCCAGCAAGAGCATCCTCCCTAAAATCCGACCTTGCTGGCACCTGGATCTCACACCTCCAGCCTCCAGAACTGCACGGAAATAAATTTGTGCTGTTAAGCCCTCTGGTCTATGGTATGTTGTCACAGCAGCCTGGCCTAAGACACCAAGTGTGGTAGACTGGTTGTTCTGGGGTTTCTTTTAAGGAGTTACTCTTTCTCTCAGAAGCTTCCTTCATCCTTAATAATGTTGGTTATGTAGGATTTACAGTTGGTTACTCAAGCATTCTGACCACCTTTTGTCCCAATTAAGTCTGTCTAAATCTATTAAAATAATTGCACCGATGTGCTGGGCACCAGAAGGTATTTGGTGCCTGATGCTTCTCATATTATAACTAGACACAGGTGAGGACAAGACATAGGATGTAGACATGAACTGGCAGGAGGATGATTTGTCACCAGCAGGCCCCAACTGGAGGGGATGTGGGAGATTTGTTGAAGATGCCTCATTGCCATCAGGATTCATCTTCTGAGTCACCTACATATGAGTTGTCGTATTTGAATGTTGAAGAGTCAACCACTAGGATCCAGTTGGCTGGTCATCATCCATTATTCCCCCCGAAAAGTTGCCCTTGCTCTGTGGACAGGAGGTGTTGGGAAATTTTGCCAATATTCCTCTACTGTGAAATATTCTTGCCCCGAGACAGAAACAGAGAATCTCAGTGGGGCTGGACCCGGAATCATTTTCTCCAGCTCTGTGAGACTTATACTTGGTAATGGGTGTTTGAAATAATTATCTGGGGGCACTAATCTGTCCTCTTGTCATATGGATTAGATACACTGGTAAGCGCTGCGTGATTTGGACCAATTTGCACACAACTGTGTTGGATGTTGCACCTACTGGCTATTTGGCTGAAATTCTCTTGAACAGAGATCATGCTTGATATCCAAATCCTTTGTTCAGACGGGTATTCGTTTCCCAGGGCCGCCATGACAAAACACCAAACTGGGTGTCTTTTTTTTTTTTAAAGATTTTATTTATTTATTTGACAGAGAGAGAGAGAGCACAAGTAGGCAGAGAAGCAGGCAGAGGTAGAGGGAGAAGCAGGCTCCCCACAGAGCAGGGAGCCCGATGCGGGACTCGATCCCAGGACCCTGGGATCATGACCTGAGCCGAAGGCAGCCGCTTAACCGACTGAGCCACCCAGGCGCCCTGGGTGTCTTTGAATAACAGATACGTATTCTCTCAGTTCCGGGAACTAGAAATCCGAGGGCAAGGTTGGTTCCGTGTGGATTCTCTGATGGAGAGTCTGTTTCAGGACTCGGTGGTTTTTCCAGGGATCTTTGCCATCTCTTGGCTTGTGGATGCATCTTTCCAATCTGCTTGCTGTCTTTGGTTTTCTGTGGTTTTCTTATAAGGACACTACTCATATTGGATCCAATCCCACGTTCTCATCCTAACTAATCACGTCTGTATGAACAGAGGGTCCACCGCATTCTCTTCTGTGCTCCGAGTTCCTGCTGATGTGATGTGTTCTCAATCCAAGGAGCTCCTATGAGTCAGAAGTGATGTCTCTCACAGGGCCATGGACATGGAAAGCTCTGCCCTGGTTAGTTCTGATTACTTTCTACCCTACAGTTCCTAGGAAGTGAGCAATTTATGAGTACTGAGCCCAGGTATGAAATGCCCAGCCACTCCATCCTTTATGGAGACCCCAAGAAATGTTCTCTGGTCATCCCCTGCGTCCTCCTCCACCTCAGCTCTGCCAATCCTCAGCTGCCGTATTAGCTGTTGCCATGTAACAAATGTCCCCCAAATTTAGCAGCTTAGAACAATACAGATGCATTATATCACAATGGCAATGGGTCAGGATTCCAGGTATGAGTCACCTGGGTCCTCTGCTCAGGGTTCCAAAAAAAAAAAAAAAAATTCAATAAGGAAACAGCTGGGGCTGCATTCTCATCTGAAGACTAAATTTCTCTTATGGTTCATTCTTGTTGTTGGCAGAATTCACCTTGTCTTGAAGGGATCCTCTGATTAGGTCAGGCCTGCCTAGGATAATCTCCCTCTGATGAAGTCACAGTTACCTGATTAGTAACATCAGCAGAGGAGTGACATCTGTCATGTTCATGGGTCCTGCTCATACTCCAGGGGAGGAGATGATACAGAGTGTGTGCACTAGGGCACAGAAATCTCGAGACCACCTCAGAATCCTGCTTACCATAGCTCCTTTCCACCCAGTCTGTGCCTCTGAGGTCCCAGTGTGCCTCCCAATAGGCTCACCTGTATATCTGGCAGGTGCCTTGCCAAGTTTCTGGGACGTCCAGATCTATGAACTGGGGTACTCTCCATGCTCTATAAAGGGATTTGATGGGCCCAAGGCTCAAGCAAGATTGCAGAAATTAATTGCATTTTCATGCAATTGGATCTCTCTACTTTTTAAAAGGCACACATAAGCCTTGTTTGCAAGAGGAAGAGTTCTCAAAATATCCCTTAAAATATTGCACAAATACACATGAGGCTTAAGAAAGCACATTCCTTCCTCTGCCCCTGTCTGAGCCATCTCAGACATTTCTTGTACTCTCTGTTCACGACCATCTGCCCATCTGTCCCCTCCAAATGGGGACACTTATCCTTAGTTTTCCCAAGCTAAGAGTGATAATCAATTCACTTGTCTGATGGACACATCACAAGCCTCAATTTAGCCACCACGGCTTTGTGCACTGTATGTGGCTGAGTGTCTGGTGGCCGTGTGACCTTGTCTCCAGCCCCTCAGCCAGACTCACAGGGGCTGGGACAGAACACGGGGTCCACTCAGGGCTGCGCTGTCTACGGAGAGACTGGGTTTCTACCTTCCAAGGACTAAGTGGTAAATGAAAAACAGCCTTATATACTTGTATTGGGGCTCTCCGATTCCTTGTAACTGAATTAAGACATTTATAACAAAAAAATTGGCCATTTTAATCATGTGGCAATATGCTGTTAGGGGCATGAAGCATATTCACTGTTGTGCAACCATCCCCACCATCATGCCCAGAACTTTCCATCTCCCCAAACTGAAGCTCTGTCCCCATCAAACACTAAGTCCTCATCCCCCCTCCTGCAGCCCTTGGTCCCACCACCTACTCTCCCTCTCTGTGGATGGGACTCCTCTAGGGACCCCGTATATGTGGAATCACACAGGATTTGTTCTTCTGTGTCTGGTTTATGTCACGCAGCACCATGTCCTCGAGGTCAATCCACGTCATAGCAGGTGCAGAACATCCTTCCTTTTCAAGGCTGCGTCATATTCCACCATGTGCACGGACCCACATTTTGCTCATCCACTCATCTGTTGATGGACACTTGGGTTGCTTCCACATTCCTGTTATTGTGAATAATGTTGCTATGAACATGGATGTGCAAATGTCTCTCCAAGACATTTGCTTTCAGTTATTTCTGGTATACACCCAGAAGTGGAATTGCTGGATCACGGCATGGTTCTATTTTTAATTCTTGAGGCACCGCCATACTGTTTTCCACAGCAGTTGCGCCATTTTACATTCCCACTAACAATGCACAAGGGTTCCCATCTCTCTACATCCCTGATAACACTTGTTATATCCTGTTCTTTGTTGTTTGTTTGTTGTGATGGCCACCATCCTCCCGGGGGTGCCTAATCCCAGCCATTGTCCATACTGCCTGGAATCCGCACTGACCAAGGATCCACATTGATACCTTCCTTGGTATCTTCACATCTACCTGACATCTACCATTGTGCTCTGTAGAGCTGTTGGCCTGAAATTCCTATACAACATCTGGACATCTCCCAGGATGAGGACAGAATTAGTATTTACGAGCATTTGTTTTGGTGTTTGGCTGCAGTCAGGAGATCTGAGTTCTGAGAGTTTGGGGCAGAGACTGGTGCCCACTGACAGCTCCATCTGCTCCCCACACTTTCCAGCATGCCTTGCAGGGAAATGCCACGTGAGCGGCCCTGCCTGGTGCAATGTTGGTGTGTGCGAACACGCACCGTGTGTGGCCCACACATGACTCCCCAGTGTCTTTCTCTGCTCATGGTAACTAAGGAGGGTGGCGTTTTACATAGTGAAGCCACCGTGTCAGCTTGGATCCCTATGTCAGCGTGTAGAGAACATGCATGTCCTGGGGACACATACACCTTTGTTGGACTAAGATCCTGGGGTTGCTATTTGGACCCTGGGATCACGACCTGAGCCGAAGGCAGATGCCCAATGACTGAGCCACCCAGGCGGCCCCCCTGGGGTTGTTATTAAAACTGGCCTCCTCCAACTGATTTAGGGGAAGAACACCGAGCCTAGTTGATTTGTGTTACGTTTTGACCCCTTTGAGGGCTAGCAAATGGTGTGTTAGCCTAATCCAACCCAGCGATGGGAGGACAATGCCTGTGGGTTCCCACTGAAATTCTCCCAAATCGAACTCAGCCAACATGATCTTCTCTAGCTGCCGATCAAGAGTCGGAAGACCTTCTGCCTGATTTTTCAGAGGAGATTATTTTCATGCTCTTTAGAAAGCAAAATAAATTAGTGAATTCTGAGAACGAGTGGGGTAGATACTCCTTGGAATTGTCCATTTCTGTGGCATGTGCAGGTGGTCCACTTTATGCTTGTGTTTTGCCCACTATTTGTGCTCTTATTTATTTAATTCTTTAATTCTACCTAAAATGGAATATACCATTGGCACTGAAATTAGGTTGGGGTTGGCTCACTGGAGAACAGTTACAGACCCAGGATGGGGTCACGAGAAATGAGAAAACCCACCCACTTCTTGCATTGGGTCCTTCCACTACCCAGGGTGGCATACGAAATCTGAACTACTAAGATATCCTGAACGGACTCGCATTTAGGATTCTCCCAGGAACATACAGTTCATGGCATGTTTCAAGCTTTTCTACTGAGTTACAAAATCTGCTGGGGAAGTACAAAAGATCTCACAGAATTAATTCTATTTACGTCAACATCAAATCACAATACAGTGTGTCTGCTTTTCGTGGCGGGAACTGATTCTTTCATCTGCCGTTGCTTGTATCTTAAAAATGTATAAATTGACTTATCTTTATATACATTTCCCTACTTGTCATTGGTCCTATTTTGAGGTCCAAAAGGAGGCCAAAAATAATTGGTTTGAGAAGGGGATGACTATAGGAAAATGCCTGACCTGACATCCGTGTCTCTCATCAAAAGGAGGCAGCATCACTAGCCTGATTTGTCCATTTGAAAATCAGAAATTGTAATGTTTCTAAGCAAACTGGAATGGATGAGCTGGGCTCTGTAGGTCAAGACCATAAAAAGTCAAAGCATTTGTTAAAGCTTGAACACAGAGTCATAATTCTGAGCATGCCTCTTCTGAGTTCAATGTACAATTTCCAATCTTTAAGCTCAATTTTTTTTGGAAGAGTGGCCTTCTCTTTCCCAAACAACATACTACCAATTGCACATTCATAGACTTGGCAGGAAATGCCAGGCTAGTTTGATTAATGCTAGCAACCAAAATGGAGTCTCCATTATGTATGGGAATTTTGTGCATGCATTTAATCATCTGGACCTATGCTCAATCCCTGTTGTCTCTCTGTGGTGCCTGGACAGGAGCGTTGGAAGAAGAGGGAAACTTCGTCCTGCTGTGGAGCCGGCGGGGTGCAGGTTTGTGTTGATGGCTCTCCAGTTTTGTTCTGGCTCGGAGCAAAGCTACAGCTGTTTGCTTTATCACCCCAGAAAAGTGAACTTTGAGTCTACCACCCTCATTTACAACCAAAGCGAGGCATGGGATTCCCTCCTGGACGATCTCCAAGTGTGAACTTGGTGCAGGAAGATACAAGTGTTTGGAGAATTTTCAAAGATATTCGATGAAAAGCAAAAGAACCACTGAGCACCCACAGATGGTTCTCAGAAACACAGAATCCGATTTGTGAGGCTCGGGGAGCCACTCGGGGAAGCTGGGAGGTTTGCGTCAAGAGTGCTGAGCATTATGCAGCCGACAAAGGACGGATGGACTTACCCATCAGGAGCACAAATGTGAAGCGTCCTCCATAGAATTAATGAAATGCCACCAACCACCTGGAAAATCAAGAGAGAGAGAGAGAGAGAGAGAGAGAGAGAGACTTCTTTATTCCCCAGGGAGACTAGAAACCACACAATACAGTAACAGTAACACCGAGTGAATCTGTTTGCATCCTTAGGATAAATTGATGGATTTTTACAGATAAATCAGAATTAAGAACTCTTACCATAAAGCAAATACTCACAATCTATTTTGGGTAGTGGCTGGGTTTTTTTTTTTTTTTTTTTAAGGTGGTCTACCATGCCCCAAATACAAGCTCTGAAGGATCAGATACGTGATTTGCAAATATTTCCTCCCGTTCTAAAGATTGTGTCTTCCCTCTGGTGGATCATTCCTTTTGCTGTGTAACATTTTTCTTTGAGGCAACCGTCCTTGTCTGTTTTTGCTTTTGTTGCCTGTGCTTTCGGTGTCCCACCTGTGAAATCATTACTGAGACGAGCATCAAAAAGCCCTTCCCCTGTGTGTTCCTCTGAGTTTAAAGGTTTCAGATTGCAGGTTTAAGTCTTTAATGCATCTTGAGCTAATTTGTGTGTATGTGTGGGGGTGTCAGACAAGGGTCCAATTTCATTATTTCGCACGTGAATATCCAGTTTGCCCAACAGTGCGTGTTGAAGGGAACCACGCATTCCCCACTGTGCATTCATGGCTCCCTTGTTGAAGACCAGAGGACCGCATGACACGGGATCCAAGATGGGGCGATTGCCAGATCATTCTCCGGTGGCCCAAACACATCCAGGCAAGGGAACGCCCAGATGTTTCTGCACGGTCCTTGAACCTACATCTGTAACTGGAACTCATTAAGTTCTGTCCCCACACCCTCTTCTCCACCTTTCCGGGTCTGGCCCTGGGCAATTCCAGGCTAATGGTTGACTTTGAGTTAACTCCCTGCTCTTTTGAAACCCACACTCATTCCCACAGTCCTGGTTTTATCTCCGTAACACCATTCTCTTTTCTCCACCGACCCTGTGCACTCCCCTAATGCAGGCTTTCCAGAGCCTACGAGTGGTCTCCCACCTAACCCCCTTTCTGCAGGACTGCCAGAGCAGTCTGCCCAGAACGCGCACCACCCCAGCCCAGGAGAGTCCCTCTCCTCGAAAAAACACACAACAACCAAAACATATTTTTTTGAGCAATAAAACAATATTTTTAGAGCAATAAGACAAAACAAAAAATGCCAAATCTCCCTAGTGAGGGGCGCCTGGCTGGCTCAGTCCGTGGAGTATGAGACTCTTGATCTCACCGTTGTGAGTTCGAGCTCATGTTGGGTATAGAGATTACTCAAAAACAGAACTTTTTAAGATTTTATTTATTTATTTGAGAGAGAGAGAATGAGAGACAGAGAGCATGAGAGGGAGGAGGATCAGAGGGAGAAGCTGAGCAGGGAGCCTGATGCGGGACTCAATCCCAGGACTCCAGGATCATGACCTGAGCTGAAGGCAGTCGCCCAACCAACTGAGCCACCCAGGCACCCCAAAAACAGAACTTTTTTTAAAAAAAGCCTCCCCCCGCCAAAAGAAAACCTTTCTAGTTAGTCCAGCTTCTAAAATTGTTTGTACAGATAATTCCCTTCATTCCATATGGATGGCTAAAGAATCAGCTTTTAAATTGTGCATCAAGAGTGATGGTTTCCCTTAAAATCTTTGTGAAATGTGACGGGGATGTCACTACAAATAGACACGGGAGACACTGAGTCCCCATATCAGGAGGTCGGACTTGGATGTCCAAACCCTGAGTGCCTGCACGTCGCTGTTAATTACAGATGAAGGACTCAAGCCTGCAGAGCTGCAAACACTGGAGAGCCAGTGAGCAGAGCAGTGGATGGTAGAGGTGACGAGCCCAGAGCGTGGTTCACGTCTCCCAGGCATCCGTGGACAGACCCAGAGGCTCAGAACCGAGGGAGTCATCCTCTGTCATCCCCCGAAATCTATAGCCTCCTTTTTCTCTTGCACATTGATCTTGCCTGAAATATACCCCAACCTCTCAGAGCTCCTCCTGCTTCAAAACCAGGCACGGATCTGTGTGTCAGGGGGCGATTATCCCCTTGGTAATGCCATCCTCTGGGTCCCTTCCCTCAATGTTTCAAAGGTCTTTCTATTGTGGAGCGCCATGCTCACTTGCAAAGCTAGCCGATCAGTCCAGCACTACTGACCTGAAATGAAGAAGGAATCCGGCCATTCCACGGGGCACTCTACAGCCCGGAAATGGCCTCACCACGGTCTGGGTGTTTTGCACAGCACCTCTTGACTGAGCGGGGAAGCTTCGCATGACGGTGTGTGCGTGTGCGTGTGTGCGGGATGAGAACTCTGTGTGTAGCAAGCACAGAACAGGGGCATGCCTTTCAACCCCCAGGGTTGCAGGACCTGAGGAGAACCTAGCTCTGGTAGCCCGAAGCCACAAGACCCTCACCAGACGTAGGGGTCTCTAGAAACCTGACATCCGTGCTGGTCTGATGAGCTAGGAAGTCTTCCCACAGTCTTCCATCTGTTCTGGTATTTGCTTCTGTGTTTCTCCACGTGTGCAATTAAGACAAAGAAAAGCCACCAAGAACTTCGTGGGGGATGATCCTCAGAGGGGATTTTGGGAATGACAAGGTACTCTGGGTGACCCAGGAATAACCACGTGACCTAGAGATGAGCAGGTGTGCTGGGTGACCTGGGGAAAATGAGGTGCTCTAGGTGACCCAGGGATGAGCGGGTGCACCAGGTGACCTAGAGATGAGCAGGTGCTGGGTGACCTGGGGACCAGCAGGTGTGCTGGGTGACCTGGGGATGAGCAGGTGCACTGGGTGACCTGGGGACCAGTAGCTGTGCTGGGTGACCTGAGGACCAGCAGGTGTCCTGGGTGTCCTGGAGATGAGCAGGTGCTGGGTGACCCGGGAATGACCGTGTGTGCTGGGTGACATTACAAATCCACCAGGTTTCCTGCTCCAGGCTTCTCTCTTTCCACAAGCTAGTGGACTATTGAGGGGGAGAGAGGCAGGAACTTAAAGATTGGGTGACGTCCTTAGCAAGCTCTTGGCAAGGACCATGTCTCAATCACCTGTATTTTCTTAGGGCTTTTACTTTCTTATCTTATTATGGAGAAACCATAGTCCTCTTTCTTTCTTTCTTTCTTTTTTTTTTTAAAAGATTTTATTTATTTATTTGAGACAGAGAGAATGAGAGGGAGGAGGGTCAGAGGGAGAAGCAGACTCCCCGCCGAGCAGGAGCCCGATGCGGGACTCGATCCCGGGACTCCAGGACCATGACCTGAGCCGAAGGCAGTCGCTTAACCGACTGAGCCACCTAGGCGCCCCACCATAGGCCTCTTTCTAACTTATACTGAGTGTGTTCCCCTCCATTTCTCTGTTTCTTCTTTCTTCTACACACACACAGTGATGCACACAGATCATCATATTTTACTGATTCCTGTTTTTTTTTTTTTTTTTTTTTCAGCCTTACATCCTTAGTACCTAGAGCCTGGTATATACAAAAGGTGCTGAATAAATACCCATTGCATGGAAGGATCAGTGAATGAATGAGTAGTTGTGATCCTGAACCTGGATTAGAATTCTTTCTTCACCATTCCCTGTGCTCGTGACCTTGAGAAAAGAGCTGGGACATCCCAGGTGTCCATTTCTTCACCTACCAGACGGTGACAACGTTACCCCATGGGACCCTTGTGCAGTACGGACAGAGAACGGAGCCTGCCTCCTTGAAAACACACCGCAGCGGGCAAACATGACTTCTGTGGGTTTGGACAAATGTATAATGATATGTATTCAGGATTATGGGATCATACAGAGTAGTAGGGCAGGGAAAACACTGTGTGATACAATGATGGGTACCTACCATTATATATGTGTCTACACCTACAGAACATACACCACCAGCAGTGACCCTAAGATCAAGTATGGACATTGGTTAGTGACCATGCATCAACATTGGCTCATCCTTTGTAACAGGTGCACCAAATATCCCAAATGCACAAAATGTAAAGAGTAGAGGAAAATTGTGTGGGAGAGTAGTTGGGAACTCTTTCTACTATGTGCTCAGTTTTTCCGTAAATCTAAACCTCGACTAAAGAGAAAAAGACTGCTAATTATGAAAAAGAGTAATTAATGAATTCTGTGAGTGCCATGAAGGGTAGGAATGGGGAGCTGCTCTGAGCTGGGGTCCTGGGTGGGGGGACACAATGTGTGAAGATACAAACAGGTGTTCACAAGGCTGGAGGTCACAGATCAATTCTCCACCACGCCCTGGCACCTGCAGAATTTAATAAAACTCAGAATAAATAGCACGAATTGCCCACCCAGGCCACCCTGGGAGCTCCACAGATAGGAAATGACAGGTGTGTGACCATACCAGTGGGACAGAGGGAGGCTTGCGGACAGAGAATACATTGCCTTGCCCCCAATGCAAAATGTGCATAAAGGGGATTTGGACTTTAAGCAAAGCCGCACAGGAGAGCTCTGGCACGGAGGAAGGAACCCCTGGTCATGCAGATGTAATTACATCCGGTGGCAGCCAGATGCTGGCACCCCGTTGCACATGATCATTCCCATTTGCCAGAATCTGGGTTCCGGTGCTGGCCCCAAAACGCTGGTGTGTGGAGAGCACAGAGGTGGGGAATTCACAGCAGTTGCTATCACCTAAGGCACGCATCCCGCCCTCCACGGCTCTGGACCTCGTCATTTCTAATCTTTGCAACCCCGCTGTGAGGAGGAAATTAATACCGTCCCCTCACCAAGACCCTGGAAGCCAGAGGATGTGCCCGGGTCCCATGGCTGGGTTCTGTCCTTTGTTGTCATCGTGAGTCTCTTAAACCCGCCCAAATTCTGTACCCAAATATTCGGCACATATTGAGAGAGCATGTGGTTTTCTCCTCTGTGTTAAGAACTCTTTCCCGATTGTTGAAAGTGCTTGCCCAACTTTGCCTTCCTGGCATCAACCGAACTTGTGAGGGATGTTTAACGTTCTGTGTGCATTTGGTGTGTTAAATTTTTATATGCTTTATA